CCTCAGCACCCGCGCGCGCCGCAGTGGGGCAGTCAGATCCGGAGCCACAGCCCAAGCAGCAGCACCCCACCCCTGCGCCTGGGCTCTCGCTGCTCAGAGCCCCCTTCAGTACTCTTCACCATTGCAAAAGAAGGAATGAAGCAAGAAGTAAAGGCTTATCTTTTAACAAATTTAATAAGGCATTTTAACCCTGTTTCTTGCTATTTTGATGATGTGGGGAACCAAGACCACGGTCCCCACCCGCAAGCTGTAGACCCCACGTTTTACTTTTTAGGTTTTGGGTTCGTTTGAGAAGGGTTCTTGGCCGCCTCACTATGCAGCCCAGGCCTGCCCTGGACCCTCTGCCTCGGGCTCCCCAAGCGCCTCACCTTGTATCTTGAGTTCAGCAATACTGCTCTTCTCATTACAAACAGTGACGCAGAAAGCGTTCAACTTGGCAAACAGCCGGAAGCCAATCACCTCACTGTCTTTGGAGGGTACAGTCACTAAAGAGAAAACAAAGCCTTCTCTCACAATATGATTTGAGTAACATAAATTCTATTCAGGATTTTAAGTTAACTGAGCCACAACTCTGTTTAAAACACACACACACACACACACACACACACACACACACACAAATTAAATTGCAAACTCTTGATAATTTCAAGGATTTAATTTGCTTTATGAAGTTTGCCTTGGTAGTTGTGAGATATTCCTTTTGTAATTTAAAAAAAGTCAGTACCCATTTAAGAACAAATTCCATCCAGAAGAATTGTTTGTAAGACAGATTTCATGTTTGCTGACAATGTCTTATAGTTCACAGCCTGAATGTTAGTAAGTTGGGCCCTGACTATAAAATATAGCAAGTAAGGACAATGAAACCCGAACAGTTAAGCCCGTGCCCACAGCCACGCTGTCTAGGCAGGAAGTCAGACTGAGCTGAGCAACTTCTGATCCAAACCCCAGTCTCTGGGCTCACACCCTGTGCCAGGGTCCAGCCGCCTTGCGTGGGCAGCAGAGGGGAGCGACAAGGTGCTCTTCCCTTAGGGCTGCCCCAAGGCAACCCCTGTGCACAGAAATGAGGACAAAACTTCTTTTAAACAATACTACTGTTTACATTTTCCTTGAGTACCAGGGGCCACATCTGACCTGGTATGAATGAAAGGGAAGGGGCAATTATTAAATTACCAAATTAGCATACATCTCAGCCTGCCCACTTAGCTCTGGAGTTCTAAGATCCTCAGTAACAAGGAACACAGGTCTTTCACACCTTTCTGCTGAGACGAATTTGCTTGCTTCTCAGTGGAGACCTGCAGCCCTGTGGGGACACCCGCACTCTGGCCAGCTGATGGAACAATGGCTGTCAAGTAGTTAATGGAAGAGAGAAGAGCCTGGGTTTGCAGCAACAAATCCAAAGAAGAAAAGGCCACCTAAAGATGTTTTAAGAGAAAGTTAGCTTTCACTGGCAACTGACAGGCTGTCTCATCCACACGGACCCGCCAGGCGGCCAGGCTCGCCTCCCTGCCTACCACCCCAGGAGGCAGAGCTCACAGCCCCCAGGACAGGGGACACGGGAGGAGCAAGCCAGGCTCACAGTCAGGCCAGGCTGGGGCAGTCACCGAAGCACTCCACTTCCCAAGGAGCCACACGCAGAGCCCACGGGCTGCCTCAAGTGGCCAGCCTTCACCCCCGTTCTCAACGCCCACCTTCTTAGATTTCCAAGAGACTGATTGTCATGATCACATAAAAGTTTGAGTCAGAACATGAAGCTCCACAGCATTATATGCTACTAACTAGATGGCTCCAAATGTGGTATCTGTGAGATTAAGTGGGCTACATTAAAAAATGAAAGCCAGTACCGGTGATGTACACCCGGAAGCCCTGCGCCTGTGAGACCAACAGGGTCACACCAGGTGAGTGCTCCATCTAAATCATCTTCTAAAACTACAAAAACAGTCCTCGCACTTAAAAAGAAGCACAGAGGAAAGTAAATGAGTAAAAGTGCTCCTTTTTTTCTTACAGTGACTCCAGAAAGCTAAGGCGGCAACACAAACTGCCTCCAAGAAAGTGTGGTTTTCTAACAGCAAATTAAACTGAAACTCCATATAGGATTCTTTCATCTTCTCATTTCTGCATGGAAGGAAACATATATACAAACAACACGCCTGTAATTCCAGCACCTGAAGAGACTGAGGTAGAAGGAGGGCCAGGGGATAGCTCAGCAACCTGGCCAGCACAAGGTCCCAAGTTCGATCCCCAGTACCACAAAAAAAAAAAAAAAAAAAGGCCAGACACTGTCCCAAAACAAAAAGTATAACAGGGCAAAACACATTCCCACAACAGAAAGGAAAGTTCACACCACCACAGCAGACTTGCCCAACCCTCTTTCTTTTTTTTTGAGACAGGGTCTCGCTATGCCGTTCAGGCTGGCCATGAGCTCACTTTGTAGCCCAGGCTGGTCTCAAACTCCCAGCGATCCTCTGGCCTCAGCGTCCCGAGTGCTGGATCACAGGCATGTGCCACCACTGCCAGCTTTCATTTTTTTTAATGTGACCCACGAGCTCCTGGTGCCTCTTTCTCTACATCACTGCCTAAAATACAGCGCCTTCCCAAGTACTGACGCTCCCTCCTTGTGTCCTAAACACCGCATTCCTGTATAACTTGCTGCTTACAATCCTCTTAGGTCTTTACAGATCACCTTCCATGGTCTGTAACATTCCATTTTTTAGAAATAATACTGCAACTTTTAAAACATTACAGCATGATGCAGCTGCACTAAATGGAATCACACACAGAGCACCCTAGATATTTACAAGGTTAACTTAGGACTTTTATTGGTTCTTGGAGGTATCATCAAGTTACCCAGACAATAGCTACCAAATAATACTAAGTGTTTCCAGAATAATTCTTTCAATAGAATATATTCCTTTAATAGAATTTACCTTACCAAAAAAAAAAAAAAAAAAAAAGGACCAGCCAAATAGTTCAGCCCATTAACGCTCCTGCAAGCAGGTGCAGGGCCCAGGGGCTCGAACACCTGGCCTGCCATGCCAGCCCCCACCCCTGGGGCTCGCTGAGACAGAGATTAAGACTGGGTATGGTGGCCCATGCCTGTAATCCCAGCTCTGTAAACAGGCGGATCACTACAAGTCTGATCTAGTAGTGAGACCCTGAACACCTTGTAGGCTCTTCCGTATTAAAGAATTACCTTAATTGTCTGCTCAGTTTTTTCAAAAGTGGTCTGAAAACTAGGTCCAGTCTTATCAGCCTAAAAAAGTAGATAAAAAGTTACAAAGAAGGCATTAAGACCAAAGCAATTAATCCTTTAGAAGTTCTGGTTAATTTGCTTACACATAGCTATAAATATATTTGGCTATAAATATATATACATTTACTTGTATCGCCACCACTGTAAAGTTTATCCATAGGCTGAATGTAACAGTGCACCTGCGTTCACCTCTGGGGAGCGAGAGCACAGTCGCTCACGCCAGGGACACCGCAGCCGGGGTGAGCAGGACACAGCTTGAGAGGGAGGCGGCGTACAGGTCATCTAGGCCATCTGGCCTGGCCACCACCTAATGCTGAATCCCTCTGGGAAGTCTATTTTACATGTCCAGTAAAAGACACCTCACCTTACAAATCCGGTCACCAGAGAGCACTCCAGTTTCTTGAAGTCTGCGCTGCACCAAGCAATCTGTCTCCTGGCCTAACTTCCACTGGGCCTACGTTTGTTCCCTGGGAACACGGAGTGTAAATCCAAACACAAAGGACGCAGCTCCCGCAAGAGCTTCTGCCAGTCTGCCTGCTCCTCTGCTCCCGCAGTGTGTTCTGCTTTGTTATATCCTATTATATTGCTATATTCTAACCGTTGTATTTTCAACCAATCAACACTACATTTTAAATGTTGTGTACTTTTGTATTTCTTTTACTTTACAATTTTCTTGAAAAACAAGATGCTTTCTATCTCTGTATCCAGGTGTCTGCTAGTATAATACATTTAGTAACATAGAGACATTCAATAAAAAGTGAATAACCAAAACAAACCAACTAATCTTAAATGACCCTTATTTCATCAACTACTCCAGCACTGTCGTATGCTGTATTTCTCAGTCCCTTCATAATCCTGGCAGTTCTTCCAGAACCTGATCCCATGTGCTTTTATCCTTTCTGATGTGGCACCGCCAGCCACACTGTCGCCTATTACACAGAGAAGTGCAGACCCATGACGGTGCCCCGAAAGACAGAAAAAGCACCTCCTTTAGTCCAGGCTTCCACTGTGGGGGCAAGAGGCTCAGTGGCTCCCTACATAGCTCTATACTTCAGTGAAGGACAAACAAGATGTGCAAATGGAAAAAGAGATAGCGGATGAGCGAGTAAGTTGAAACTAACACACCACCCAGAACATCAGTATTAGAAAGATGTCCTGTCATTTTTCCAGGGGTACAGCCCAGACTAGCGGTGGCCCATCCAGGACACATGCACTGTTCTCCTTCTAAGACAAAAGATGCTAACATGAGTTGTTTTTCCTAAACAGAAATCTCAGCACTCAGGCTCAGCTGCGTCCACCCGGCACTCTTGTAGTTAGTAGGTGGGCTACGGTGTGGCACAGGCGGTCACCTGAGCCCTCCCCATCGCGAGCCACACGGCCGCCCCCAGGACTTACCTTGATATACTCTACTTTTAGGAGATCTGATCCAGGTCTGTCAGAAGAGCTAATCAAGTGAAGGGGCTTTTTTCTAGAACCTACAGAAAAAAAAAAAAAAAAAAAACACTTTCAAACAAGCTGCTCTTACAAAGTTTAGAACTTGCTAGCTATTTCCTTTATAATAATTGCTAATTCACCTTTAAAAGAATGTGATCTTGGTAGTGTCCCAAATTTTCTGATCAAGAAGATTATGGGGCCAAAGAGGAAAGTGATCGATGACGTAGAGTGTGCCTAAGGAGGGTCACATGGAGAGAAGACACTCTCTCAGGCTTCACAGAGAGCACATTGGCCAAGCAATGGCCGTGACTCATCCACATGGCTGCACTGACAAAGGTTCTACAATCTGAGGTAC